TTTGACATTTTTATATTTTATAAATGTCGCATTTATAAATTGAGCCACTTGTTTATTATGAACTCGTTTTATTATTATTGTTCTCTGTCTTTCTCTCTTTCAAATATTTTTCCATCTTTATTTTAAAAAATCTTTATTTTGTGAAATAAACACACATCGTCATATTCTTTCAAAAAAATTTTCTCTCATCTGAATAAAAAGAATTAATAATTCTATTCATATAAGAGAGATATTGTCTTTTTGTTTAAAGAATTTATTCAAGTTTCTCTTTCTTTTAAGTTTTAATATAATATAAATAATATTATATATTTAATATAAATAATATTAAATGTTTATTATATATTTAATCATGTTTATTTTATTTTTATAATTAATAGAATCACTAAAATCAATTTTCAAATATATTAAAATATTTACATATTTATATCAAAATTTTCCGTTTGGATAAATACGCGCTAAATGAAAAAAAATGATATTGTGCTTGGTATTTTGTACAAATGTAGTTATTAAACAATACGAATAATTAAATCATAATCAAACACGTTTCATTAAAATTGCAATTAAAAATTCTTTTTTGTAAACCAACGTTATTTTTAATTTTTATTACCATACAAATTACATAAAATTGTATGCGTTCGAAATTAAATATGGCATGTAAATGTCTTTTGTCTTATAAATAGAAATGGACTCTTTTCGTGGGCAGACCTATATTCTATGCTAGCTATTCTATAGTACTCGCGTCAGTAGCAAGAACATCGATTTGTAATAATTTCCGTGGGGGATTTGACCACCACACTTTGTCAATTGTATATATGGGAGTATTAACTTTAATTTGATGGGCGGGGCAGAGCGGGCCACGTGTGACCGCAAGACTCTTCGAGAATGAAAGACATGCATCTTTAAGAATAAAAGCTCGACGTATCATATGTCATTTCCGTAGTTTCCTCGATTCCACGTTGGCTGTCCGAGGAAGACGACGGCGAATACGTCTCGGGTGGATGCAGTGGCATGCAGGAACCGCCGGCGACGCCCGTCGCTCGCGACGAGTTAGCTTTAAGGCGACACAGATTCTTCTCCGATCTGTTGCAAGCTGCGCAGAATTCAACGGAGCACCGAGTGAGATTCGACCCGTTAGGACCGATGGTGCACACCGGTTAGGATTCGCCTGAGAATTTCCTATAGGCCCAGTTCCACAACTCACAGTTAAATCTTAATCGAGACTTATTCCTCATCTTTTTCCAATTCTGGAATTGGACAGAGATGAGGAATAAGTTGAACCTCTCCGAGAAAAAATGTTTTATGTATAATTATATAAAAAAATTGACATATTTTATATACAGTCGTATATAATTATATATAAAATATGTCCATTTATATAACATTTTTCTCCAAGTCGGTTAAGAATTAATCGTGAGTTATGGAACTGCGCCTTAGTCGGTTGTTATTCTTTCACACGCTGTTAGTTCTGGATTCTAGCCCAGCGTCTGCCTTGCAATTTTCGCCGTAGCTTACAATCCACTCTCATTTACACCAGTTCACGATAGTCTATTTTATACAATTACTTTCGTGAAAAAAATTATAAGTACAGTGCCTACATATGCAATATAGGCAAGCGCTATTAAATAAACATTATATTGGAATATATTTTAAATATATTTTTTTTATTTCGATCACTCATGCTTATTTTTTTATATTGTCGATATTTTTGTTATACATTTAAAATAGACAAAAAAAAAAAAGAAAAAGAGAAAGAATTCATTTATCCACGTCAATGGTATATGCAGTGCGATTGCAACTATAATGCATACGGATGTGCATATTTTCATTTTCCATGTATATTACATATCTTTAGATATGACGATTGAAAAACTACGCGCTACATGTAATACTATTGCGATTATGTTACATTATGAATCATTTGCCGAGCGTATTTCTGTGGATGGGACTATAACTGCACGATGTTGGTGGATTCTCTAATAATAGTCTGGAGTATTCTCGCGTCGGACGGAAAGTCATCTCATTTGAGATATCTTTCAGTTTCTTGCCAATTTTCGGAAAGTCTAGTAGCCGCATCGTCGTTTATAATAGGATAATTGCAATATTCTTCAAAACTTAGGTAACATTCTGGCGAAAAATAAAAATAAGGCAAACAAAATATATAGTTAATCTATTAAGGAAAAGCGTGAGCGGTGTAATTTGTATACAGATTTCATTAGCGAGATGGTTCTGCGTGCATTAGGAAATTTTAATCTACGACGCATTGTAAAATAAAGCATATTCTCAAGAGAATTTAAGGATAAATTTTATAATGGAAGTCATTTATGTACTCAGTGGAAAAAAGAGAATCATTATCTTAATTAACCCAATTTTTTTTCTATCCGATAATCCCGTCAAAAATATTTAGTCTTATAGAGACAAAACTTCAAAATGAATACGAAGCAGGTGTTTAATTTGATTCTTTATTTAAAAAATTATGTTTTCTTAATGGAGAATAGGTCTCGTAAGTACGAAGCAAAATTATCTCGATAATGATAACGATTAAATTGTTCATTAATATAATTATTTAATTGTAGTCGGATACTATATGTATTTTTATCATTATAATTTTAAAAATTACGCCGATCGCGTTTTTCCTTAATAGACATATGTACATGTGTGTGTGTGTGTGTGTGTGTGTGTACGCTTAATTTTGATACATATCATTTTATTAATATACTCACTTAAGTACTGATCTTAACGCGATGTAGTTAACTAACGTAACTATTTATAAACGTATTCTATATTTAGTGTTCCAAGTACTCGATGAAGTATTCCAAGCGTCTGTGAGTTTTCCAGATGTTTCCAAATTCCTTGAGATAAAATTTACTTTCTTCTTTGTGTTTGTTTATTAGTTTAATGTTATTATTTTTAAACGTGAGTGAATTAATAATCTTTTTTTTTAATTATTACAGTCAATATACAAACGTTTATAAATTTGTTTATAAAATAAATTGCAGGTCGTGAGAGCACCGATAAAGAAGAACATCTAGAAGAATTAGTGAACCGGTTGGAAAACGTAACGAGACGACTCGAAAACGTACACTTTGCAGTTGAGACACAAGATACTGCCGTACAAACGAGCACACCTTCCCCGAGGAGGTCTACGTCGTCAGGAAGTAGTTTATCTCTATCGTCGAAGCAGGAAACTGTTCCGAATCCACCTACAAAGATGTCGATTGCCGGATATGAGGACTTCTTAGCTGGACCAGTTAAAGAATATCTACAGTTAAGTAAAAAAATCGGCGGCGATGTAGATGTTCATAGCAAGCTTGTGGAAAAGGCTTTTCAGTAAGTAATATTTTAGTTTTATGAGATTAAAGAAGTAGACGAACGTAATATAGTGAATAAATTATTAAATTATTAAATTAATTAAATTATTAAATAATACATAATAAATTGTTAAATATATTTTAATTTCTCTCTCTCAGGATTCAGCTTCAATTTATACACATGGCGGCGAGCCGTCCCGCACCGACGAATCAATCCGAACAAGTATCTTTATTTGCGCCTATGTCAGCACAAATACAACAGATTCAAGAATTTCGCGAGAAGAATCGTGGATCTTCATTCTTTAATCACTTATCAGCAATTAGTGAAAGTATCCCAGCTTTAGGATGGGTCGCTGTGTCTCCTACACCAGCTCCTTATGTAAAGGAAATGAATGACGCCGGTCAATTTTACACTAATCGTGTATTAAAAGATTGGAAAGAAAAGTAAGCTTTTTTAAAACTCATTATTTTTTTTTGTAATTTATTCCGGAGCGGAACTAAAACTTACTTATTTATAGAGACAAAATACACATAGACTGGTGTAAAGCGTGGGTGCAAACATTGACCGACTTGCAACAGTACGTTCGTCAACATCATACGACGGGTTTAGTATGGGGAAAAACTGGCGCACCTGCGGGCGCATGCATACCACCCCCTCCGCCACCTTCGATGCCAATCGGAGATATTGCACCGATGTTGAATGACGACAGAAGCGCCCTTTTTGCTCAGATTAATCAAGGAGAAGATATCACAAAAAGTGAATACATTTATTATATTTTTTTTTCTCCACGCAACTCTATAATCTCGACGTACGAGAATATAATACGTAATATATAATATTTATATTGTAGGTTTGAAGAAAGTCACCTCCGATATGCAAACACATAAAAATCCTGCTTTGAGATCCGGCCCGGCACCATTCAAAGCGCCGACGGTCAATGCGATACCAATGAAAACTGTGATGTCAGCAAACACACCTATTGATAAGCCACCTGTATTTACTAGAGATGGCAAAAAATGGCTCGTGGTATGACATTTCGCAAAGGAATAATAAAAATATTAAATAATGCGTTTCACACTATACGTATTATATTATTATTATATGTATTAAAAATATTATATTTTTCACAGGAATATCATAAGGGTGAGAATTTAGTAATTGATAACGTAGAGATGAATAATGTGGTTTATATGTTTCGGTGCCAAGATAGCACGCTTACTGTCAAAGGCAAAGTGAATTCCGTTGTTATGGATTCCTGTCGCAAATCGTCCGTTGTATTTGATTCCCTGGTATCCAGTATCGAATTTGTTAATTGTCAAAGCGTACAAATGCAGGTATGTATGGCTACACAATAGCTCCTTTTGTTATTGGCGTGTATATTTTAGCTTTTGAAATAAGACTCTATTTTTTTATTTAATAAAGAAAATAGATTGATACATAAAAGATAGATAACACTGCTAGATGTTGATATAATAAGAAATTTTGTCCTTTTTAATGTACGAGAAATTATTTTCCTTTTCGACACTGCTCTTAATTTTAGGATATCCAATTTAATTTTCTAAAAAGCTTTTTCTATCTTATAGATAATTTAATACATACAAATGTAAAAAAAGCATTTATTTAGAAAAAAATGCACTCTTATATAAAAGAATTCGATAAATAAAAATATTAAAAATATTTACAGAGATAAAGACAAGTTGTACGTCTCAAGTAATTCAATGTAAGTTAGACATTGATGTACATGTATCTGCAATGGAAGGTTTCGCCGTAACTTCTTTTTCCTTTTTTTCAACAGTAATGGTCCATAATTTGTTTTTATGTATCAGCAGATCTGTCGTGGGACTGATATTCTTCGTGTTTAAAATAAATAGATCCGCCGGATATTTCTTCCGTAAATCATCATTTGCCATAATAGAAATAACAATCATCTCTTTAGAAGCAATCTTTTTTATATGCTGCATTATGCTTGTATCTGATTTACTTCTATTTATATCGCTTTTATCTGAATGTTCTTTATTGATTGCCAAGGATTTTACATTTTGATCACTAGACACAATTTCCGAATGTTTTTTTGGTATGTTTTCTTTAAACGTCATATTAAGTTTTTCTGAGTCTTTATTGAATATGTCCTTTTGTAAATTTAATTTAGTTAAATTTGTCACAGTCCTGTCTACATGCAAATGCCTATTTATTGAAGCATTGTCATTTCGCACAACTTCCTCTGTTGCATGAACTTTTGTACAAGTCTTTTCTCCCAACATAGTCAATGGACTTCTCAGAGGACTTCTCGCGTGCCCTTGATGTTTTATTCTGTGAGATGATTCTAAACGATTTTTTAAAATTGGTATACAAGATTTAATGGATTCTCTTTGTGGTGATATAATAGACTTTGATTGAGATGTGAGTCGCAATTTATTTTTTATACACTTATTTTTATCATTATGCAGCTTTGCGTATGGCTCATGTAATGTACCGCTGATAGATTTCGTATTATAACGCATCAAAAATGAAGATTTTTTTGGGTATATGTTGACTTTTAAATCTTTACGTCTATTAGTTATTAAAGACATGTCGCTTTTAACTTGGGAATATGTTTGGAATGGTTTTGTGGAATAACATTCTATTCGAGGCGATAAATTTGTGATGCCTATAGATATTTCATCATTTTGTTTTAAATTATTTAATAAGGTACTGTCTGTATTTAATGTTTCATTTTTTTTATTTAATGAGAGAGGTAGTAAAGAAGCAGCGGGATCGAAGATGAAATCATTTTCCTTCAACATCATTAAAGAAGATGTAGTTTTCGGATTTGTTGAATAATCATGTTTATCAGGAATAAGATTTGAGTTAATAAGTATCGTCAAGTTAGAATATTCTGATGGTAATTCGCTTGGCGTTACTATATTTAGACATTCATCCACGGATATTTGTTGTTTAGTAACATTTTGTTTTGTTTTTTTCTGTGCGTTTAACTTTAAATGCGAATGTTTCATGTCTGATATAGATTTGGAAGATACGTTGTCCATTTTTACATCACTTATTATCTCTTCGTCAGTAAAATACGAATTACTACGAGAGATCGAATTGCAATTAGATTTGTTTAGATAGTCTTCGCGTGCTGTGTGAATAACTTTTGCATCAACATTTGCAACATCGAGTGAAAAATATGATGGCTTACTTTCAGTGACTTGCGTCTGCTTTTTATGTTTATGGAAATCTGCATTCACATCAATACCTTTATCAGTTATATTATTTTCTGTATTTGAGTGTTCTTCACAACGAGTCGTGATCGAATCCGATATTTTATGCGTAGATTTTGAGTCAATTTTGTGAGAATATGTTAGAACTTCTGGAAGAGACAAATCAATTTCTTCTTTTTCTAATTCTGTAGGTATTCCGGATTGTTGTGTATTGTTCTTGATAGAGAATTTATTCTTAATAGGAGTGATAAGCGCGAACATTCCTGGGTTTCTCTTTAAGTGCAGATCGGAAGAGCATTTTAAATCATTTTCTGTTTTCTGTTTGTATTCTTCTATGTAATTTGGCCATATATTTGTTAAAATGTCTGATGATTTCTTTGAAGAGCCAATAATTTGCTCGGTACTATTGCTGCTAGACGGTGCGATCGATCGATTATATACTACTACATGACTCGCCTCATCCGAACATCGAAAAAAATCGTTTTTACCTTGACATTGAAGTGCTCTGCGTGCTTTGAAAATTGCTATATTTTGGCTTTGAAGAAAAGTATCTATGTAATCTCTGATATTTTTAACACGTTCCAATATGAGATCTTCGAATTTTAACATTGTCGGCGAACGTTTATCGGCTATGTTATTGTCGATATCGGACGTTGCATTTTTTCTTAAATTTTCTTGTACGCATGTCCGTATATTTTGTAGGACAGTTTTCGTTTGCATCGATCTTTCATCCATATCGACTGGTATCGTTATCGAGATTACTTTTTCATAAATCGGAGGTTTCAGCGAAACATTATTCTTAATCTCGACATTATTATTATTATTATGACTCGCGAGATCCGTAATGCTAAAATATTCCGAAGATGTTTCGCGAATATAATCCTGGCTCTTCGTATTTTGTTGGTCTTCACAATGTGCAAGTGTATTTACTTTTTTCAAATATTGAGGAAATAAGTCACGTCGTTGTTTCATTTCTAGACAGATGTAACGCTGATTAATTTTATCATAAGAGTTACTAACAACTGGCTCTTCCTCTTTGATATCTATTATCATTGAAGGAAAATTATTATTTGATATCAGTGAAGATTCATCCGCAATATCGCCTTGTTTTTCATTACTTGTCGGACACTTCATTCTTGAGTGTGTCAGTAAAGTATTCTTGAAATGCAAAGCCTCTTGAAGCAATAATATCGTCGATTTGTTTTCCTTGTTATTACTATTGTTTGATATTTTACTTTGACTACTATTTTGAGATATTGTCACATTCTCTCGGTATTGTTTTTTATCAAATGTGTTGCTGAATTTTTTAGTAGCGAATCTTTCCTCTAACAATGTCTCGTTTTGTGTTTGATTGTCCTTATTTTCAGGTGATAAGATATAGAATATTCTTTCTGATATGTTATCTCGTGTATTGAATAAAGTATTTGTTTTAATTGCATCTTTATTGACTTCGGAATTCGATTCTATTTTGTGGTTAGAATTGCAATCTAAAATATTTTCCCACAAGCATTCTTTGTATTCATCATTTTCGTAGCTTTCTGATGACTGTAATTTTGCATTGCGGGAACATAAATGCGATTCTGTTGGTACAAATGAAAGATTGTTCCGTATATCATATTGACTAAATCCTTTAGAGTAAGTATTTTGCAATGTAAGATTTTCACTAGAACATTGATATGTTTTTGACGTATGTGATGAATCAGCTAAGGAAGATAAACAATCTTCTGAACGATTTAGCTCGAAATATTCGCTTGAAATATTCATAATCGGATTTGTTATAAATGAATCTATTTCATTGATTTGATCCATTTGATTTGTCCATTTTTGTTTTTTTGTAGACCGACTCATGTCTTGATATGTTTGCACATTATGTAAATTCTGAAGTTTTCTTCTGACTTCGATTAAAGTTAGTTGAGAAGGATGTATATTTTGCCCTGGTTGCACTATCGGAATAACTGAAATTCCGACATCTCTCGAGGACGCACAGTTGTTTGTCTTTAAAGTAACAACGTCTTTAGATACGTTTTCTTTATTTTGATGATATGTTTCTTCAGTACCTTTTACTATGTTACCTTGCATCCGTTTTTCGCATTTTGTCTCATTTATTTCCTCTTTTTTTGCTGTTACAGAAGCCTCGCAGAATATTTCTCTTTCTTCCGATGTCGACAAAGCTGTCTAGAATATAATAAATGTATAATTATCATACAATATTATTTATTGAGCTAATTTAAGTATGTTTGATAAACTTACTTGTCCTGCTATGTGTGCGGTTTTTAAAGAAGATACTTTGCTCATTTTTGATGGCTGATTCAATGAATGTAGATATTTATCATTACGTTGCAATTCCTTGAGAAATGATTTACATTTATAGATAGTCTCTGTGAATTTGTGGCATGGATTGTATTTAGCATTTATTGCATATACATCATTCTGCATTGAGGAAGGAGTCATTTTTGAAGATTGATGATTAATCACGTTCGAATTAAATGGTAGCTGCACATTTTGGCGTTGCAACGTGAAATTTTTGCTTCTAGAGAGATTATTTTTCTTCGTATTCACATTTTGCGGATATATATGTGCCCTCGCTGAATATACACTAACGAAATAAGCTAACTCAATGATTGCACAGGTTGCTTCAAAGATTTTGCGCTTTCTCTGAATTCTTATTACTATATGATAAAGTAAAATGTATAATAATTAATATCATGTTATATATTAATATTTTTTAGTTTTTGATGGAAGGTTTCGCCGGGCAAAACATTAATAGTTTCCTATTAATATTTTTCTTAATTCGTTATTTTTAGTTTTTCTATTAATGCTTTATTAACAGTTTTCTATTAATGTCTTTGCGTAAAAAACAACTAAATAAGATCGGGAACTATCATCGAGAGAAAGTGCAAAATATTTTTGAAGCAATCTATTGTGCTTATCTGTATAAAAATTGCATTAGTGTTATATGAACAGGAAAAATTAATGTAAAATCGAATGTATTTCTAATTTTTGTACTTCACAGATTGGTCACTAGTAGATTTTAAAGTTTCAATGCTACTGCAGGCTGCTGATAATTCACTGTGTTTAATATGTTGTGGAACACGTTCTTGTTTTATATCAAAACGATTCATTTGTTTTGCTTCTGATGAACGAAACACTTTTGAACAAGGAGCATACATTTTGCTCTCCGATGAAGGACTAAAATAAAGCATTATTATGAAATATAAATATATTAAAATCCGTATTCTTTATCTAATTGACTCATTAAAAGTTTGTTAATTATTGAATATTTTAAACTTCTATACGTACTTTAATAGCACGTGTTTCAGCCAATTTTTTCGGTCACCTGGATTAGATAAAGTCAGTCTAATCTTTCGCAGCTTCGGATTTAAATTATAGATTTGCTGTGGTAATGGCCAAGTTCCATATTGCATTTTGTACGTTAAAACATTGATTTTCAATTCCAGATCCTGAATTTTATACCCGATTTTATTTAGTATTTGTTTATTAAGCACAGTATGTTTCGTGTGCATATTTTTGCAATATTTTATACGGATAAGTATTGTGGAAGTGATGGCTATCGCTAAAACCTTCAAATATTAGACAATGAAGTACAATCAAAGATTTTTTTAAACCTAATATATATATATATATAT